ACTTCATAGATGTTTCTGATTCTCTTCCCAGTGAGAATGACTTCACTTGTGGATATGTTCTTGAGAGATGCCATGTCCTTGCAGAATTCCAAGGAGTAACCTTTATCACAGAACTGACTTATGCTAAGAAGGTTATAATTGAGACCTTCAACATAAGATACAGCTTGGATGGTTAGTCCCTTGTACACCAGATTTCCTAGCCCTTTAGTAAGGCCAAAATCATTGCTTCCTCCTAAAGTAACTCTTGGACCATCATAGGGAATTAGATTGCTCAAAAGGCTCGCATCACCCGTCATGTGTCTTGAGCAGCCACTGTCTAAGTACCAGACACCTAGGTACTTAGCGGCTTCCTGCATTAGGAGGAGGAAGATTTTGGTACCCAATTAAGTTTGGGTCCGGAATAGTTAATGGTGTGTGTCCCTACATCAAGTTTGAAGTTGCAGGGAATTTTCCTTGCAACTCTAAACTTGGTGGGATTGTAATAATAGTTGTAGGCATAAAACTTCCTACGTGCAGGAGGTGCAATTTCCTGTTTCCTCCTAGTAAACCTAGGTTGATAAGACCTATAGTTTTGTCCAGGTTGTGCATAGTGTGACTTGTGTCGGTTATAAGCATACTTAGGTGGCACAAATAGCTTCTGGGGTGGAGGGTGACTATATCTTGGCATAGTTCTCCACTCAAAATTTCTTGGAAAACTCCTATCTACCCCATAGTGAGTATAGCCTCGTGTGTAATGAGGGTTAGAAGGTTTTCTGAAATTATTTCCTCTTTGAGGTCTGTCCAGCTTCTTATAGTTCTTAGGAGGGACTACCTTTTTGGGAACTTCTGTTGGTTTCTCCTTTTCCTTTCCTTTCTGCTTATTTGGTTTAGCAGTAGGTTTAGGAGGGATGAAAGTTGTTCTCCCTTTCCTTTTGGAACTAGAGGGGTCAAACCCAAGTCCTTCACGACCCTTATGTTTGGTCGTTTCAAGAAGCTTATCCACTGCCTCTTTAGACTTAAGTATCCCTAGCTCTTTGTTAAGGGATTTCACCTTTTCAGAGAGAGATTCGTTTTCAGTCTTGAGTTGAGTGATCTCATTCAGTTGACTTTTCCGACCTTCAGTCAACTTGAGATTCTCTTCACTCAGTAGTTTGTTCTCCTCTGTTAAGGATGAATGTTTGAGATTTATTTCCTCAAAATCTACCATCATCTTTTTGAATTGGTCAAAAAGATTTTCAGAAGTTGATATGCTTTCATAAGAAGATGAGCAGGAGGTTTGTGAAGTTACCTCTTGATCAGCATCATCTTTGGCCATTAGGCAGAGAGTGTCATCTTCTGACATAGTCCATCTATCCTCATGGTTGGACTTCTCAACTCTGCGCTCCATGCAGACGAGAGCTTCTTCATCTGAGCTTGAGCTGGTTGACTCGTCACTTTCAGCAGCAACCATTGCCTTCTTTTTCTTCTCGTTCCTTTCTCTTTCTCCGTACTTCTCCACCTTTGGGTACGGGCATGCTGACTTCCAGTGGCCAGGCTTCCTGCAGTTATAACACAGATAAGATTCAGGAGGGGAGTCACTTACCTGTGGCTTTCCCTTGGATGCCCTTCTGACTGAGTCAGCCTTCTTGAAGAACTTCTTGAACTTCCGGAATTGCTTGACCATCATGGCGAATTCCTCATCGTAGTTCTCCATTTTTGAGCTTGACGGCTGGCTGGAGGAGGGTATGTCACAGTTCCTTGGGCATGTCCCTTCACTTGATGGGACTTTTGGAGTTGTCATCAGTGCCGTGGGGAAGGGAGTGACTTGTTCTTCCTTCTTCTTCTTCAGCTCGTGCTCATAGGTTCTGAGCTCATCAAGGAGACCTTGGACAGTGTAGTTTTCCAGGTTTCTTCCTTCTTCCTGTTAGAATAAGTGACCAACGCTAGAGGGGGGGTGAATAGCGTTTGATCGTAGAAATTGCAGGAATAAAAAATTAAGAACGTGAAAAGTAAAGAGCGTAGAAAGCATAAAGGGAGCATACCAAGATTTATACTGGTTCACCACAACGTGTGGCTAATCCAATCTCCCGAGAGACTCTCTCGAGCTACACTACTTCCGTTAAGCTTACGGGTGCTTAACAAACCGTTACAACCTGAGAACTCGAGTCCCACGAGCCTCAACAACACTTGCTCGGAGATACCGCACTCCAAGACTTCAACCCGAAGGAAAATACCTTTCCTTCGTACAACCAAGGGAAACAAGCTTCCCTTAACGTGTATAC